AAAAAGTAATTTAGATGTGTCATGTACATGGACCAACTCCCCATAAAGAAGACTAGGATTTTGTTTTTTGTTTTGAGACAGGGTCCTGCTGTGTATTTCAGGCTGAAATTTGAACTCATTATCTATCCCAGGCTGGGTGCAGAATGTAACCTTATGTGTAGTATCATTTGTACTAATGAAAGAGAGAGAAAGAGAGAGAGAGAGAGACGGAGAGAGAGACAGAGAGAGAGAGAGGCAGAGAGAGCTTGGTATCTAACTGTTTCACTGCACTCTTTCCTTCCTTCCCCCATTCCCATCTTCCTTTACACCTCGTCTCCCTGAGACCTGGGTCTCCTGGAGTTCTGCCTGGAGACCTGGAGCCTTACAGTCCCTCTCCAGGAACTTGGGCTGCGGGTTCATCTGCTGTGTCAGCGACCACTTCTCTATCAGTGTTCAATCTTCCAAAAAATTTTTCTGACATCTCTTTGTCGGTCCTTTCCTATTCCCCTTGCTCTTATGTCTTCATACATTTTTATTTCCTTATTGTTTTAGCAGGATTTGGGAAACACCAACAGAGATAAATACACTTTCCAATGTGCCACATTTAACTAAAGGTCCCAAATTAGCTTTCTTCAATTATTTTTCTTTTTCTCCTCCAGACTATAGATTCCTTAAGAACAAGAACCTTGCTTTCCCATGTTCCCCATCCCTTGAGTACAACACATACCACGCATATTGAATAGATACAAAGAAATGATAAGAGCTCTCTCCATACCTTCTACCTCTTTCCTCAGGAGTATTACCATGCTCCTACCTTCATCTCTCAAACTTGAGGGGAAAAAAATGCATCTCCTAATTTTGTGACAAACTATGCTTTTCAATATAGCCTGTATTATTAGACATTCACATCCAATGGAAGATACTTTAAAATGACACACTTACAAAAATATTTTATTCTTCACCTACATTAAAAGCCCTCTCTTCCATGAAACATTAGAATGATCTTCAACCTTTTCCCTTACAATGTATTAGTCAACTTTTCTATTTACATATATTGACTGAATTATGTCTCATTATGCCCCATTGTAAGATAAAGTCAAGGCTATTGTCAGAGAAAAAAAAAAGAACTCTCCCCAGAAATTCTTTCACAAACTATGTCTATTTCAGGCTGTTCACCTAACATGCACTAAAGATCTTCAGGGATAGCAGTGAATAAGACTTGGTGGGCTGGAGATTTAGCTCAGCAGCATAAGCACCTGCCCTGCAAGCAGGCAGTCGTGAGTTCGATCCCTGGTACCGATAAAAAGGAAAAAGACAAAAAAAAAAAAAAAAAAAAAAAAAAGAATAAGACTTGGTGCCCACCCTGGACCCACTTATATGAGAATATATATACCCGAGTAAATGTTAAGGTAGAAATATTATGTTTTGCCTTGGTTACTTTTCTCTCAAATTAAGGAAGGAAAGGTTTATTTAGCTCATAGTTTGTGGTAGTTTCAGTCTATAATCATCTGGTTCCAAGACAGGGTGACAAGGCAGAAGAGCAACAGTTCATGGTGGCCAAAGACAGCAAAATCTTGGCAGAGGCCTTCTTAACCCAACTCATGCATTCTGCATTCACCTAACACCAGTGCCACATGGATGCTGCCAAGTTCTGCTGCCAACTGGAAAGCAGCCAAGCTTCCCTCTCTTTTGGCTGTTGGGTTCAAGTGCCTGGATCACTAAGCATTCTGAATCCAATTCTGAGGAACAAATTCTCTAGGCGCAGCCAGTTTGGAACCTGATGCAACCTTCGCCATTCTGGAACTTGGTCCGCACTGGCTTTTTTCTCCCAAGCAAAGTCTTTCACCTTTGCAGCTGAGGCCAAAAAAGGGCTTCTTGTGACACCCTCAGGCCATCTTTTCTATTCTCTTACTCCTTCTCACCAATCAAGGTCTGCTCTGCTGTGTCACTGCAGAATGTAGCTCTAGTGGAGCTTTTTTTCTGGCCAGACTCACAACATTTTAAATCATCCTGCTGGACTCTTTGCTTTTGATTCTCAACATAAATCTGGCTAAAAGCCCCCAACAATCGCTATGTCACCACCTCAACATTCCACTCTCTTCTGCCAGTTTAAGTAATGTACCGCCCTAACCCTTAGTCTCAGGCAAAGTCTCTAAACACAAGCAAAAAACACAAACTTTTTGCCAAGGCATAACATACATCATCTGGAGTGCAACAGTCAATGCACAATGTCTTCCACCTCAGCAGAAACCTCCTGAGTTTGGTCTTTACTGGCAGAATTTCTATCAACTTCACATTGGTCTTTTGAATTCTGACCAAAATTTCCCATACAAAACAGCCTAAGGTGCTACTCCTTCAGGCAACATCTCTTAAATCTTTCCAAACTCGGTCATTCCCAAAGGCTCTTGAGTCACATAGTCAGAGATAGTCAAAGAAATGACCCCATTTCTCTTGTACCAAATTCTGTGTTGGTTATTTTTCTCATTGCTCAGACAAAATACCCAACACCCAAAATTAAAGAAGGAAAGGTTTATTTAGCTCAATTTGTGGAGATTTCAGTCCATAATCAGCTTGGCTCCAAGGCAGGGTGGCAAGGCAGAGGAACAATAGCTCATGGCACGTGGAAGACACCAAAAGCAACAAAAGTGGTAAGAGAGAACCCAGGAAGCAAGCCTCTTTCCCTCTCTTACAATGTATGCAGACTACCCACCCCAGGGCCGGTGTAGCACTCCCACTCATAATCCCAGCATTGGACTGTTAATCAATCACAAACTCTAGAACCCAACCCCATGACTGCGTGAGGCTTTGGAGGGACATCTAGACACAAACCATAACATGGATTACACCTAGCTGTCCCTCTAAAGTCTAATGTACTTATTGGTGGGACTCTGCGGAGGTGACTAGATCATGGTAGTGTGATATTACTGGTGGATTTAGTACACTGATGAATGCACCAAATATGAGTTGGGAGGTGCAGCCTGGTTGGAGGGGTAGGATACCAAGAGAATGACATGGCCCCTTGACCCTAGCTCCTCCCGGCTCCTCCTCTTTTAATCTCTTTCCCTCTGTCCCTCTCTGTTTCCCACTGTCATGCATGAGCTATTTTTCCTTTGCCATACCCTTTTGCTAGGTTTCCTTGCATTCAAACCAAGGTTGAAACCTCTGTGAATTATAAACCAAAATAAACCTCTACTTCTTTAATTTGTATGTGTTGGGTATTGTGACTCAACAATAAGTAAGTACCACAGATTTTGGCACTAGAGAAGTTGGGGGGCAGGGGTCACTGCTGTGATGTGACCAGATCATGTAATTCAAAGCCTTTGGGAACTGGCTTCCAGGAAGAGTTTGGAAAGGCCTGGATATGCTAGCTAGAGAAGTGGCCTTAGAATGCTTTAAGATCTTGAAGGGAGATTCTGAACAGTTCAAAAGATCAGAATATTGACAGTAATGCATCCAGTAAAGACCAGGCTTAGGAAGTTTCAGTTGAGAACATGCACTCCATTGACAAGTGGATCCAGGCCATGTGTGTTATGCTGTGGCCACAAATTTCTCTGCACTTTGTTAAAGTCCTGAGACTCTGAAGAAGACTAGGATTTTGTTTTTTGTTTTGAAATACACAGGGTCTTGCTGTGTATTTCAGGTTGAACTTTGAACTCATTATCTGTCCCAGGCTGGGTGCAGATCCTAAGATGCTAGAAAAGCCAGGAACATGGAAATCTGAGGTAAGCCTCAAGGAGTGAGCAGTAAGAGCCAAGAGAGACCATAAGGGCTGTACAACCTCCAGCAGTGTTATAAAGGTGGAATTATCCAAGCCCTTTGGAGTTCACATCTCAACACAGATTGCCCTGGGTGCTGGACTCAAAAGTACAGGATGTAATGTTCACCCTGCTGGGTTCCGGTCCTATTCCTTTCTATTCTCATTTCTCCTTTTTGGAATGAGAACATGTACTCTGTGCCTTTCTATGTCAGCAGTGTTTAACTTTTTTTTGTGAACTTTACAGAGACTCACCACAGAGTTTGCCTCAAGTCTCAGAGGAAACTTTAGACTTGGCATTTTCAGGAATACTAAAACTGTTCAGATTTAGTCCACTGATGAATTTATATATATAACCTAAAGTGATTTGAGGGGTGAAGGCTGGAGGAAAAAAGTCACTGGGCTCATGACCTGCAAGGGTCCAATGCTTCATTCCTCCCTTGACCCCACTCTTTCCGCTTCCATGCCAAGAGCTATTTCTCCTCTGCCACACACCCCTGCCCTGTTGTCTGAACTTGGAGCCAGTGGACTAGGGGTTAAAACCTCTACAAACTGTAAACCTCTACTCCTTTAATTTGCAGCAGTTGAGCATTATATCTCAGCAAGGAGAAAATAAAACAGAAGAAAGTACACGACTGTAGGAAAGCCAAGATGCTCAGAGGTTTCTTGAAGAAGATAGATAGCCTCTGAATTGATCCTTTAAGACTGCAAAGAAGTTTTCAAAAAGTGACATCAACGATCCAAGTAGTGGCAACAGAGGCATAAAAGAACAGAAACTAAAGGTAGTTTGATGTTAGTAGAGCATGGAGATGGTCAGGGTGTCAGGAAATAAGGTTGTGGAACCCCCTAAATTAATGAGTATCAGGCAGGCACCTGAAAAACAGAAAGGAGATCAGAGGATCCAGAAAACCTCTGTGCCAAGATGCTGCGCATCGCTAGCACTGCTGGTCCCCACCCCGCCGGGGGCCGTCCCCCCTTCTACGAGAAGGGCAAAGCTGCTGACATCCAGACCCGCTTCCCTTTCGGAGTGAGTTCCACAGAGGGTCAAGGAAGTACAAGCCCTCGACTTAAGAAGCCCCTTGTCTCACCCAGGAGATCAAAGGTGGAAGGGGAAAGCAAAGGCGGAGACACTGGGATCCCAGAGACACAGAGGTCGCAGCCCACCCAAATGGCCGCTCGCTCGTAGCCGCATCTCCAGCGGGAAGGACGCCCGTCAGCTCCGGGCGCCCTTGACCCCCGGCACAGAGGGCGGGCTGCTGCTGTTTACCTTGGTCATGCCAACCCCCACCACAAACACCCGGCGCAGGCTGGGAGACTTCCACTCGGAAGGTCTCATGGCTCGGCAGCGAGGGACGGAGAGACCGCCTGAACGCAGAGGGACTGAAGCTGGAGCTGAAGCGCTCGCGGGCAGGATCCGGCAGCGGCGGGGCGGGGCTTCTGCGCCTGCGCCTGCGCCTGTCCCTGAGCGTGCGCCTGCGCAGTGTCAGCCGGGGCTCGCGTCCCTGCCTGGCGTTCTCCGGTGTTTCTGTAATCCCAGGAGGCCCGGCCAAATTCACGAATTGAGCAAAAGACCCAGTCCCCTTAAGGAGGTAACAGAAGGTAGCCTGGCGTCAGCAGCTCACTCTCCCTGCACCTGTATCTAGTCCTTTATGCTCCCTGCGAGACAGCCTGCCGTAGAGACATAGGGGAATGAAACTCTTGACCTACTAGATAGATGTTCAGTAGGAGTTCCTGTTCTCTAAAATCGAAGAATGAATTTCAGGAACAACGGAGGTTAAGAGTGGAATATATTTATTGAGAGAAAGAAAGCTTCTGTCTGAAACAGACAGAAGGGGTCCGGAGTGGGTTGCAAAGACCGTCTTTCCAGGGACTTCTATACAAAATCATGAGGTTAGATGGGTCCAAGCTGGGGAAAAATGGAAACTCGCAAGCTGGGCATAAGGCGGGACATCACTGTGGTTAACCAGTAAGATTAATTGCTCAGGTAAAACTGATTAAATCAGGAACAAATTGGGGAGCGAGTCCTGTAGAAAACGGTTAGGCTTAGCAGCAGTGACTTCCTGTAGGGGGTTGGGATGCTGACTCCTGACTTCCTCAGGGTGATAGAGAGCTATTTGGACTGTCAATCCTTAGGATGTGGTTGTATTTGCTTTTGTCTTGAGATCTGGTCCACAGCAGGACGTGCTTCTCTTCCAAGGCTGCAAGGTATCTGAACTTCTGCACTGGCTCCTTTGAGGTCTCAGCCCTGCCTGACTGCCTATAATATTTTTACTAACTCAACTTCCTTTAACAGTAGGGCTAGAGAAAAGAGGGGTTGGCCAGAGAGGGGACTCAGTAGGGGGAGGGAGGATTGCACACATAGGTATGTTTGAATGGAGCTATGGGGGATCCTTGACTCTTGCACTCTGTGTTGAACCCAGGGCTCTAGTACTTCCAACCCTTTTTTAATTTTTTCATTTAGAGAAAGGATCTCACTCAGTGGCCCAAGCTGCCCTCATACTTACAATCCTCCTGCTTCAGCCTCCCAGGGTGTTGGAATTACAAGCGTGTGCCACCTTGCACAGCTTGTTTTTTTTTCATTTAACAGTATAGGCTGGGCTTATTGACGATTTTGTGTTAGTTTGCCAACTCCCCTTTATTTGTAACCTTCAAGTCAGTACTGGGAAGTCGCAAGGTGGTGAACGATTTGAGTTCACTAAAGCCACATTCTCAGCCAAGATGGATTGAGGCCACACTCTGCCTTCTGGATGCAGATCTCATATTGTAAACAAGTATCTCTTTTATGATCTATTTAGGGCCACGGTTTGTTTTTGTTTTTGTGGGTTTTTTGTTGTTGTTGTAGATTTGGCTGTTTAAAAATTGCCTCCAAGCATAGTGCGGAAGTTTTCTATGGTGTTTCTGTGTGCAAGAAAGCTTAATGTGAAAATGCCTTATGGAGAATTTTTAGTAAACAATTCAAATGGGAGTTGTAACGCTGTTGGCCTTGAATTCAATGTTAGTAAGTCAGCAATAAAGAATAAATAATTGGCTGGGAACTTAGCTCAGTGGCATAAGTGCCTGCCTGGCAAGCGCCAGGTCATGAGTTCGATCTCCAGTACCAAAAATAAATAAATAAATAATTATTTCTATACATAAAATAAGGAAGAATTTGTACTTATTGATACAGGTACTTCACTCTGAATTCTCTCTAGGGGCAATGGTTTGGTATTCAGTAATTCAGTGCTCCCATTAACTTTATAGAACACACCAGGAAAAAATATGTTTTAATGACTCACATATAGTCCAATCTACTCAGAAAACCCAGGTAATATAACAAGACCCCTATCTCAAAAAAAGAGCTTGTTTTATTTCGTGTGTGTCTTTGTATAAAACTTTTAAAGCCTCTTCTAGTGCTAAAAATCTGTAAGAGCCCCTTCATAGATTTCCATGCCAAAACAGTATCAGATAGCTGGAAAACCAATCACTCTGGTACACCTCTAGTAATGGTTCCTAGGACTACTAAAATTTAAGTCTAGGTACACAAAAAAAACACCCCTTCCCCACTAGAGGAAGACAGCTGGAGAGGAAGTAGGGAGACACAGGACACTTTATTGCAGATACGGTTCAAAGCATGGGACAGGTCTGTAGAAAGCTACAGGCAAACACCCAAGAACTGTAGAGCCAAGCATTTACACACAAGTGTCTTACTTATTTCATTAATGAGTATGTTCTCCAGGTATACCCATTTACCTATAAAAGTATCCAGTTTGTTATTCTTTATGGCTGAGTAGTACCCCATTGTATAAAAATACCACATCTTTTTTATCCATCCCTCAGTTGATGGATAATTACGTTGTTTCCAAGATCTGGCTATTATAAACTGAGCTGCTATATACATGGGTACACATATATCACTAGGGTATGATGCTTTTAATTCTTTTGGTAATATACCTAGAAGGGAAATAACAGAGTTGGATAGGACCTACAATCCTAGTTTTGAGGAACCTCCACACTGATTTCCACAGAGGTTACACCAGAATACACTCCCAACAACAGTAGAGAAGGGTTCCTTTTTCCCTAAATCCCCACCAGCATTTGTTATTAATTTCTTGATGTTAGCCCATTCTTTCTGGAGTGAAATGTTATCTCAGTGTTAATTTGCATGTGTTGAATGACCAGTGATGTTGAACATTTTTTCATGTATTTATTTGCTACTTGTATTTCTTCATCTGAGAAATGTGTACTCATCTCAGATGCCCATTTTTGGATTGGGTCTTTAACTCTGGCAGGACTAATTTTTTTGAGTTCTTTATATGTTCTCAATAGTAATCTTTTGTCTGAAGAACAGCTGGCAAACATTTTCTCCCACGTTGTGGGTTCTCTCTTCACTCTGGTGGTGGTTTCTCTTGCTGTGCAAAAGCATTTCAATAGGGTGAGATCCCAGTTGTTGATTCTTTGTGATAGTTTCTGTGCAATTGGGAATTTTTTCATAAAGTCTGCCTCTACCAATATCTTCAAGAGTTTTACCTACTATATCTTCCAGCAGATTTAATGTGTCTTTTAATATTAAGATCTTTGATCCATTTTAATTTTAGCTTAGTACATGGTGAAAGATATGGGTCCAGCTTGAATCTTCAGCATGTATGGAGCCAGCTTTTCCAGCACCATTTATTAAGAGGCTCTCTTTCTTCTAGTGACTGTGTTTGTCACCTTTGTCAAAGATTAGGTGGCTTAGTTGTCTATAGTTGTTTCTGCATCTACTAATATATTCTATTGACCTTCAGGTTTTTTTTTTTTTTGCCAGAACCACATTGTTTTTATCACAGCGTTATAGTATAATTTCAAGTCAGAAATTGTGATGCCTCTTGTCCTGTCTTTGTTGTCCAGGATTGCCTTTGCTATTTCAGGTCTCTTCTGGTTCCAGATGGACTTTAGGATTATTTTCTGTAATTCTGTGAGATATGCTATTGGAATTTTGATTGGGATTGCATTGAATCTGTATAACAGTTTTGGAAGTATGGTCATTTTCACTGTATTAGTTCTTCCTACCCAAGAGCACAGGATATCTCTCCATTTTCTAATATCCTCTTCAATCTCCTTTTTCAGAGTACTGTAGTTTTCAATGTAGGGATCTTTTACATTCTTTGTTAGATTGATTCCTTGGTATTTCATTTTTTGGGATGCTGTTGTAATATATATTGTTTCCCTAATTTGCCTCTCAGTGAGCTATTGATTTTTGAGTGTTGACTTTGTAAACAGCTATATTACTAAATTCGCTTATTAAATCTAGAAATCTAGTCTCCATCACTTTTATCATGTTGTATCTTATTGAATCTTATTATATGTGATAGTATAAACAAAATTTTTTATAGACAAAGAGATAATATAGTAACCATTGTTCGTTTTCTGTTAGTTGGTTCTGAATACCCTGTAATACTTTTATTCTCTTAAATGGTTTTGCACTGTCTTTTTATGTTTGATACTATAGTATATCAAGGTATACTCAAATATTTCAAGGAAAGAGACATTATGGTAGCTACTGTTAGGTTGGATTGTCTTGTGGTGAAACACTATGTTGCTTAAATTGTTCTGTTCTGACCTATGTCGTTATGTCCTCTTTTATCTTAATCTTTTTTTTTTTTTTTGTCTTTTTCGTTTTTATCGGTACCAGGGATCGAACTCACGACTGCCTGCTTCCAAGTCAGGCCCTTATGCCGCTGAGCTAAATCCCCAGCCCCCTTTAATCTTTTTTTTAATAAAAAAAAATCTAGAAGTCTTTCAGTGCAGTTCTTGGAGTCTTCTGAGTGTCATGTCATCTGCAAATAACAATAGTTTAACTTCTTCCTTTCCTATCTTTATTCCTTTTGTTTCTTTTTCTTGTCTAATTGCTCTGGCTAAAGTTTTCAGGACTATATTGAATAGCAGTGGAGATAGTGAACATCCTTGTCTTGTTCCTGATTTTAAAGTGAAAACTTTAGCTTTTGTCCACTTAGTATGATGTTGGTTGTCAATTTGTCATAGATGGCTTTTAAAGACCATCTGTTCTAATTTTGTGTAAGGTTTTTATCATGAACGGGTGCTGGACTTTGTCAAAAACTTTTTCTCCATCTATTGAGATGATCATATGATTTTGTCCTTGTTAATATGGTGTATTACATTTATGAATTTACATATGTTGAACTATCCCTGCATCCCTGGGATGAATCCCACTTGATCATGGTATCATTTTTTATGATTTGCTGCATTCTTTTTGCCAGTAAGAGTCTTTTGCTCTTACTGAGGATTTTTGCATCAAGGTTCATTAGGGATATTGGCCTGTAATTCTTTTTCTTAGTTAGGTCCTTCTCTGGTTTTAGAATCATAGTAATATAGCTTCCAGGAATGAATTTGGGAGTGTTGCTTCCCTTTCAATTTCAGTGAAGTGTTTGAGAAGTAGTCATGTTAGGTCTTCACTAAATTTCTTGTAGAATT